TTTCCGAAAATGATTGCCCAAGGAGGTAACAAGTCTTAGTTGATAATAATTGGAAGAAAGCAGATCGTATTATGAAATGCGATGAAAATAAAGAACACTATAAAAATCGGATATAAATTGTACTAAGCTTTCTTTTCTTTTTCACTTCATCCGTACTCACATTACATACTTTTGGCCCTTTTTATAGACAAATTTTAGGGCATGTAATGGCACACATTTCAATAAATATTTTAGTACAATAATTAAAGTGATAAGTTTGTTAATAGTGGTAAGATTCAACTTGTTTATAATACTCCCCCTTGGAATTACCACTATTAACTGTGCGTTTATGCTGTCTCGTTAAATACCTTATCTGGAAAAACCCTGTGGGAAAAAAAACCGAGATAAGGAAAAAAGAGTACAGCCGCACATACTTCCCCTCTAGTTATTATCTGTGCAAATCCCGAATCTCGAAGATGTTTCATTCCAATATTGTGCACGTGCTTTCGAAATGTTGTCGTCGGAAGCGCCTTCGTAAATAAATCTGCTGCATTATCGCTTGATCGAATGTATTGAACTTTGATTTGTTTGTTTCTTTCAAGCTCTTGAGCATATGAGAAAAATTTTGGCGGGATATGTTTAGTTCTGTCATTCTTGATGTATCCTTCTTTGGTTTGAGCGACACATGTTGCATTGTCTTCGAATATCACCGTCGGGTCATTATTGTTCGATAGTCCACTGGCTTGTTGAATATCTTGAGTCATGTTTCTGAGCCAAATACTTTTCCTAGTTGCTTCATGAAGTGCAATGGTCTCAGCATGGTTTGGAGACGTCGCAACTAATGTTTGTTTCTGGGAAGGCCAAGAAAATGCAGTTCCACCAATCGTGAAAACATAGCCGGTTTGAGATCTTACTTTATGGGGGTCTGATAGATATCTTGCATCTGCAAAACCGATTATTTCATGTTTTTTTATCATTAGAGTAAAACAGTCCAAAATCGATTGTCCCTTGGAGATAACGGAATATATACGTGATTCCATTCCAATGTCTCATTGTAGGTGCCGAGTTATATCTTGCTGATAAATTGGTAGCGAAAGATATATCTGGTCTGGTGCAATTAGCAAGATACATAAGAGCTCCTATTGCACTCATATATGGTATTTCAGGACCAAGTATTTCCTCATCTTCTTCACAAGGTCGAAATGGATCCTTTTCAACATCTAATGTTCGATTGACCATTGGGGTACTAAGTGGATTATCCTTGTCCATATTGAATCGTTTCAATATTCTTTTAGTGTAATTAGATTGATGGACAAATATCCCATTTTAGACTCGTTCTATTTGCAAGCCGAGACAATATTTGGTTTGTCCGAGATCTTTCATTTCAAACTTGCCTTTCAGTAAAGTGACTGCTTCTTGGATTTCATTTGTAGTCCCAATAATATTAAGATCATCGACATAGACAACAATTATCACAACTCCATCTTGTGATCTTTTTATAAAAACACACGGGCATATTTGATTATTTATGTATCCCCGTTTTAGTAATTGTTCACTCAAACAATTATACCACATACGCCCAGATTGTTTCAAGCCATACAATGATCTTTGCAGTTTTATCGCACATAACTCTTTAGGTTTGGACTTTAGCGCCTCGGGTATTTTAATTCCTTCTGGAATTTTCATATAAATATCAGCATCCAGCGATCCATATAAGTAAGCAGTCACAACATCCATGAGACGCATCTCAAAATTTTCATGGATGGCCAAACTAATCAAGTATCTGAAAGTAATCGCATCCATAACAAGGGAATATGTAATATCCCGAGATATTATCGGTATAAATTACGTTTAATTCCGATATAGTAACGTTAGCGTTTATTATTTTCGGAATTAATTAAGTTCAGTCGGATTACCGAAATTTATTTTCGACGTACCGTTTACGTTCGGAATAATTTTGATAATTAAGTATTATGTTTAATTAAATAATTAAACATAAGTAGTGATTAATTAGTGAAATTAATCACATCATTAGAGTAAGCCGTGAGATGTTAAGTAATTTTCCCAAAAAATTTTACTAAGGCCGTAAGCCATGACCTAGGAAAATTCTTCCATATATCTTCACTAAAGCCGTGGGTTTCTTCATTATGAGGTAAGGTTTTTCTTTCATTTTGGGGACATAAAACGTGGCAAGTAAAGGAGGCATCTTAGTCATCAATAATCACTCCTAATTGTTAGCAAATGGCAAGAGTAAATATGGCCACGTCTCTAGTGCATAAAACACCCCATGAGCCGTGCTTATAAAAGGGAATACTTAGGCAAAAATTTTTCCATTTCCCTTAAGACGTTTGAGCAGTATATCTTCCCTTCATAATACCCTTCAGCAGCACTTGTTAGTTAAACAATTTTCCCTATAATTTGCTATCAATCGCACGGCGAGACAAGCTTATCGCACGGCAAGCGCAATCGAGGAAACACGCCTTATTTTCCAAATTCAGTCGAGAGTTTCGAGAGGTACTGCTCTCCTCAGTCTCTATTCATGATGAATAGATTATTTTTGAGTTAATC